ACTTCGTGTGGACGGGGCCTTAGTTTAGAAAACATGCAAATAGAAACGGATGAACGGGTCCCCCCCTTTGGAATGGGGGTCGTTTGGCTTCTTTGTTAGCCTGCAATAACTGAAACCTGTCTATGTCTCTAAACGACCTTTAACGACCGCCCTTTCAGAGACATAGATAGGTTTCGGGTTTACAAGCTAATGCTACGTTCGGACCGTACGCAGCAGGAGCAGCAGATCAGAATCCGAATCAGGTTTATTGCCATTGTTAGTGAAGGAGTTCACAAACTAGGAATTTTTTATGGTACAATCGTGCAACATGAAACATATAATACGGACTAGGTAAATAAAATTATAAAAATATCTAAAACACTGTGGGTATAAGGCATGCAATAAAATAGACTAATATATACACTTAGGATAAAAATATGGATATAAAATATAAAATAGAAGAAGCAGAAGCAGTTTACATGCAAAGTAAACGATTGACACGCAGCAAAAGGTCCTGCAGCGCCTCAGAGCAGCCAAAGCAGCGTGTCACGAGCTTCTGAGCTTCTGACGAGAAGCGCTTCAGAAGCAGCAGCTACTGGAGTTGGAAAAATTGAACCTTCCATTAAATTTTTACCTTTGTTTTCCAAACAAAAACAAGGCTTTGTTGGTGTCAGGTCTAAGCACCTAAATCATCATACATACATACAGGGAAAGAAAGAAGGCACAGAGACAATTAAGTAGGAAGAGACTGCAGAGTTTACAAATCTCCAACCCACTCTGCAGTCCCAGCGTTCTCCTCGCTATTTATTGGAATCAGTCGTCCCTGGTTCCAACAGCTGAGACTACACGGGTGGGGGGGACAAGACAAGGAACTCAGACTTGCAGTCCCAGTAAACATGTCCTCTAAATCTCAGGGTTCAGTCAAAGTTTAAGCTGTTGAAGCTGTTCACCAAAGTTCAGCAGGTTGAGTGCAGCTTGTAAATCAACCACAACATCCCCAAAAGCAAATCTACAAATCACAGTATACTTCAGAAAAGGTGGCTATAAACACATGCACAGAGCACACAGCTTTATGCATGATAACACTACGCAGATACATTTATATATAATTACTCTAACAGTTGGGCTACTGGATAAAACCTGGAACTCAACACTATTTCTGACATTTTGAATTGAAAAATCCTCCTGGATGGAAGAGAAACGTCTTCAAACTTGGAAACAAAGTCCAGTGGATTGATTTTTTACTTTTATTTTTTTTTAAGAATCGGTGTGGAAATCGTTTCCAGAATCTGTTTTTATAAGTGAAGTAACAGAGGTGGAAGAGCGGAGCTCTATGAAAGCTTACCTGTGTCATCGATGCTGCACGACTGATCCTGGCATCTATAAAGAGCCTGAAGCACAGACAATGCCTGAATCAAAATGCCTTTCTGCTCAAGCAGGATGACCGGAAGATCATTCGGCTGGCAGAGGTCTTTGCACACAACGTCGCTAACAAACTCCCACACTGGTTTGCCCGGTCCGTCGGGAGCCGCTGAGGAAAACAAGAACATAAAGTTTTCCTTTAATAAATGTTTCCTTTTTTTTTTTATGTTGCATCACAACGGTAACAAAAAAAAGAAAAACATACCAAAAATCTGAAGGCCTTCCTCTACTGTGGTAAGAAGTTGGAGGATGTGAAAATAAACCTCAAGACCATGTGAACTCTCAGACCTGCGAACACATGAAGTCAATGAATGGATGCAAATAAAGTGGTTTTTTCTAACCAATCTGACAGTATTCTCTCTGTAAAGTGCCTCCAGATCACATGCATTGGTGCTACACAAATTAACTGAACTGAATAAAGGTCATTACTATGGATTTTCAGACAAATGTACTTTATTATTAATTAGAATGCAAGAAGAAGGGTGGAGAGAGAAGGAAGAGACCTGGAGGAAACGGCCCAGAGTTGGGAAGTAAACGCCTGCGTCAGAGATTATTCTCTCAGCGTTTGTATCACCTGCTCCGCCATTTTAAACAGAAGCTTCAATCCTCAGTGACTATTAGAGCTTTATAAACACTCACCATCAAACCAATATCCTTTCAAAGAAGACTTAGGTCCCTGTCACACCTTGCAGATTTATCCAGGATCTTCTAAAAACCGGGAATAAGCTGAATTTTCTATGTATTTTATTTATTCTGGGCGTATACATGTAGTATTAATAACAAGTCCAGAACTTCTGTCCAACTACAGCCTAACTTCTGCTTTTCCTTTTTAATGCTCTTAGAAATACTCCTAAAGTGGTAGGAAAGCGGCTGTTCCCACCTTTCCGAATTCTCCCGAGTGGTGCACGACTTTACACGAGTGAATAAAGTGAATCTGATTGGTCGATTATCAAGGGGAAGGTTCACAGGCAAGTTTGGTTGTGGCCGGTTTGTGGGAAGCATCTTGCTAACCAGTTAGCAA